ATCGGTGCACATGGGGCGGAAATGAATGAGACGAAATTTTCTCTCTCATGGGTGCAGCCATATTGAAAATTTTGTATGCGCTTATATGTAAAATTGGTGGCGCCACTGGTATATTTGATGGAAAAAGAAGAACATGTTTGAGTCTCACTCGTTTATATGTAAATTACATAGGCATTTCCAGGCCATGTCGGTGCATTGCCAAATTGCCAATGATCGCCAAGTTTTTCGAATATTTGATTAATTTGGAGATCAGCAAGATGGTAGCCGATAAAATAGTTCCACAACAACATGGTTTTATGAAAGGTCGCTCGACTTCGATGAATCTTTTAGAATTCCTGCACTATTCTTTCAAGGCAGTGAACGAAGATAAGCAGGTAGAAGTACTTTATACTGACTTCAGTAAGGCATTCGACATTGTTGATCATTCGATTCTGATTCGAAAACTACAAAACTTCGATCTGCCTCCTAACTTAATCGAATGGATCAAATCGTATTTGTCAAATCCAATGTCGGAATATGATGGCGTTTTATTTTCAACCAAAAGTATGTTTTAGCGTAGATGGCGCTGATTTAAATGGACATTTGTATGTATAGACGGTGGCGCCGCCCTACTCAATTAAACACTGAACTACAGCGTTTCCAATCGTTGGTCAAATCGTCGTCAATTCGTGAAATATGGGCAAATGGAGTTAAGTGAGTTTGTCGTTAACTCAGGAGTTCCTCAGGGAAGTCACTTGGGCCCCACCCTATTTCTGCTTTTCATCAACGACATTGTTAATTCCATTAAGGATGACGACATTTTTATCTCTCTGTTTGCTCAGCAAACTTTGCTGACGATTTGAAATTGGCAACTTCAATCGCTAACACCAATGACTGTATCAAACTTCAAGTTGCAATCAATAAATTAAAAAATTGGTGCGAAGCAAACAAACTTCATTTAAATCTTGACAAATGCTCTAGTAAGTTCCTACTCTTATCATAAGTCTTATGGCAGTCACAAATTCAAGAGAGTGAGCGAACAAAGAGATTTGGGAGTTATCTTTGACAAAAAACTCAACTTCATCAAACATATCGATTCAATCGTGGCCAAAGCAACATCAGCACTAGGATTCGTAAAGAGATTTTGCTACGATATTCCGGATTTCAATACTCTCAAGTCATTATATTGTGCCCTCGTACAATCAATCTTGGAGTATAGCTGTTTGGTATGGCTCCCGTACCATGATATACACAAGAACAAAATCGAATCGTGCCTGCGTCAATTCTCAATGTTTGCACTCAAGGAGTATCCAAGTATTTCAAATGACTACAGGATATCATCGTACAGCACTCGCCTAGGCAAACTAAACATGCAATCACTCCAAAGGCGCCGTATCAACGCATCAATTTTATTCATTTTCGACTTGATGCAAGATAACGTTCACTGCCCATCACTGAAGACCGAAATTGTCCGCAATCAAAATGGACGTAACTTAAGATGTGTGGAGTACTTCAAAATCAATGACAAGAACTTCAAAATCAATCCATCAGTACCAATCAACCAAATGTGCAAAATGTCAAATAAGGTTCACGAACTATTTTCAACGCAAACAAAAAGATCAACCTTCAAAAATCGACTTTTAGCCTTTTAGTTAGTTTTACTATTAACTATTAGCTATTACTGTAAGAAGTAGCTAATTAGTTTTAAGATATCTTTATTAAAAGATGTGGTTTTTAACGGTGATCAGATGTATACCAAATGTGTATCAGTCATGTCTACTGCCTTCTATCTTTTTCAGTGCATACTTGGATCGCTCATGTCTACTGCGCATGATCGGGTAAAAATGTTTTTTCCACTTTTCTCCCTCCGCACATGCGCAATAAACGAAAAACTGTTTCCCCTTGAAAACAGTTTGCGTCCTTCACCTCGCGAATTTCATACATTTGTCTGTCCCCCCCTCGCCCGAGGTTGCACGAAAAAGACAAAAGTGTACTACTAAACGTCCCAAAATAATCGCCTGACTTACTGTGTAACTATAGTCGATTGTTTTCCATACAAAATTTCAAAATTCATGAATTTAGCTAAATATAGTCACTTACAGTCAACACAGTGAGAAATATTTGAGTAAGGTTACTCTGATGTTCGGAGTTATTTCCCCGCGGTAGACAGGGTCACATTTTCCAGAACAAAAAATGTTCATTTCGACAAGACGAATCGATTCCACAATGCCGCATTTTGAATTTTTTGGATTTTAAAAATTTATACATTGATTTTTTACGTAAAATTGTTTTCACAATAGTTCATTTGGACATTCAGTGAATGGACCAGTTTACATTATGAGTTCATCGGGTTTTTCATTTAAATGTTACAAAATCATCAGGGAGTCAAGAGCCTTATCAGTTGGAAGACATGATATTGTATTTTACTTAAGTAATTGTCAGTACTTTTATGAAGCGTCAAATTTCCAATAAGAAAAGTAACAATAACAAAAGTAGTACTTTTATTGTCAGTCGAATTGATTTTTTTTTTATATGTGCTTGTTGAGAACAAAACTATAAAGCAGGGATTGTTCCTCCCCAATAAACCATTTGATCCATTCTGTAATGCCATTTGTAGCACATTATGTATACATGTACAAATTTTGTACACATTATGTATACAAACTGCATTACAGGATGGATCAAATGGTTTATTTATGGAATGGTCCTCAGATCTGAGGAGGAGGAATGGTGAGGAGGAAAATGAGGAGAGCAGGGAGGATCCTCCTCCTCAAGTGAAGAGGAAAGGTTTTTTTTTTTGCTCAAAGGGCTATTTTTATCACAAAAATATCATTTTTAGCTAAAAACATTTTCCTCCTCAGTTGAGGAGGAGGATCCTCCTCGCTCGCCTCCCCCGCCTCATTTTCCTCTTCACCATTCCTCCTCCTCAGAGGAACAACCCCTGCTATAAAGTGCAAACAATGTAAAATGCAATAAGTCATATAACATGAAGTTGTAATCACTTGAAACGGTTTTTATAATAGAGAAATTTGAGTTGAAAAAGAGTTGTTATAACTGATGCAAATAATTCAAACATAGTTGAGTCGAGCGAAACTATTTTGAAATCGAATTGAGAAACACTGAACCGTTTTTGATCGCTGCTTAAAAGTAGCAAATGATTTCAATGTTGAAAGTATTTTATTCCGTTCAATAAAAATAATCTATCTGTGATACACGGAGCACACTGATACAATTCAAAAAATTTAAAAGCCTCATTCAATTGAAACGGACTTACTTTGCTAGCTCGCTATTTATTTTAAAGTTGTTGTTGCCAAGAAAACAAATGAATGTGAAACGCACGCGGTTGTACTTTTTTTTTAATTCACTTGGATATGGGTTTTAATTAAATGCCGTCGAAAATGTTGAACAATTGTACTTACAAACTAAAGCCTAGCTTCTATTCGATCGATCTCAAAATTACTTTTGTTCGCTTAAAATACCTTCGATGGAGCTCATTTGTTCTTGTTCGATGTTGGCCATGCGCATTGGTTTTCCACGACGTCTTCGTTCCAAATCTTTGGTTAGGTCTCGGTGATTCACATGTTGCATCGACTTCGCGCCGATGATGGAAGAAATTCGTCGGAATAATGTATTTCGCTATTTTGTTGATCAGCCAAAATACATTGCAATCTCCCGCTAATTAAATGTATTGATTTTGCAGTCAATCGATTGCGTTATCGAAAAGGCTTACACGGAAAACGACCTCGTGTATAATATTTGTTCGTTTCGAACAAATGTGCACCAAATAGCTAACAGGTCATACTTGGGCGACGATCCGACGAAGAAGAACGTTTCCCTTTTTTTTTCCTGCGTTGACAGCAAGGGGGAAATCACTCTTTCAAAGTACTTTTTAATTATTTTTTTGAAGCAACAATTAGTTTTGCAATTACTTGTTTCCCTACAATTACTTTTGCATGTCAAAAAAGTAATTTTATGTCAAAATAACAGCAAACGTATTTGTTTGCACCTAATATCAAGCACTAATGGTCAGAATATGAAAATTGCATACCAAATTTTATTGTGGTAAAGATTTTAATAATTCAAACACACATTCAAAAGATGGAAAGTCATTTTTAGCAATGTATTGAAAGGGATATTCATTTTTAAATTCCAGACTATGTTAAATATTGTTTAAAGTAAGTTTCATGAAAAAACATATTTCATTGGACACTAAAAATATCGTTTTTTTTAGTTTGTGCTATCACTATTGAAAAATAAAATACAAACAGTTTTTTAACTTTCTTGATACATTCTATTTATTTTATTTGGAAACTCACTTGATAGCATTCTTTATAAAAGGTGGAATTTGGAAAAGATCCTTCTCAATTTCTAGCCAAAAACGACTTTCCATTTTTTATATATGTAAATAAATCAAATGTGCTTATTGCGGTACCATTTATTGAATTGGCATCCATATTTAAAGGGATCAGATGTCACTTATAAATGTCATACCAATATTTCAGAGACGATGTGATTTTATTTGGAATGTGGCGATAGGAATTACAATCAAATGTGCATTTTTTGTTTATACTTTTTCAATATTTTTGGACACATTAAATTCGACTCTGGAACCCATATATCATAATCTGCCGTGTAATTTTTCCAACGCACAAGAAAATGAAAGCCATCACTTTTTTTCTTATGACTGAGCAATTTCTCGACTTCATATTCATCATCAGAATCCGATTGAGTTGCATTTGATGTTTGTTCTTGTGCTGTACTTTTTTGAATTTGTTTTATGCGCGAATTAAGAGTCCGGATATCATATTTCATGTCACCCAACTTTTTTTCGTAATCCGCATTTTGTTTAACGTACGTCAACTTGCTGTTTTCAATTTCCAATTGTAGCATTTTTATTTCCGACTTATGTGAATTTAATTTAAATGTTAATTGGCGATCGATCTTTTGTTTATCTAAAACCAACATCTCACATTCATTAATTTTTTGCTTCAATTGCAAAGTTGTGGATTGATTTTCTTTTTGTAAGGCAGCAATTTTCTGGATGAGTGCATTTTTTTCATTTCTTGGCATTTTATCAGTCTTAGCAAATGTGTTTCTGTCCGAATTGTTGGACTAATTTTTTATTTCGATGTCTACTGCATTTCCCCGCTCGGTCTTGATTCGAACCTTATTATTCAATGGCTTTACTGATGCATTCGATCGAAATTTCTATAAATATTTATGATTAGAATGATACCTGACCAAAAAATAAATTCTATATGCTACATACTACGCGATTTGACATATATTCTTCCAGCTCTTTCACGGCATTTTTGAAGGTGATACCTTTTCCTTTTTCAATGAATTCTTCGCGATGATTGCAATAGCTCTGAATAAAGTTCAAATCGACAAGCCCACTAAAATAATTGACATTTGAGCCAGTAATATGAAAAAAAAACTGTGAAAAACTTACAAATTTTTGGTACCAAAGAAAAATACACATTTTTTGCTAATCGGAACTGGCTGCAAAAATGTTGGTGCTTCAACAATCTAAAAATAGTTTTTTTTTAAGGAACCGTGTTTAATTTTTTTACTTTTTTACTTACACGAGACGGCCAATATGGGCAATACTTCATCCGAGCCCAAACCAAATCGGAATTTTCTTCGGTTTTTTGTTCATTTTCACAAAAATATGTGTCTTCAACGCTTTCAAGTAAAAGGTGGTTGACACAACGTGACACACGTTGAAAATAATTCCCTCTTTATATTATCTATTACTATTTTCTGTAAAAATTACTTTTGTCTTTAAAATTACTTAGAAAAATTAGAAATTACTTTTTAGTGATTTCCCCCTTGGTTGACAGTTTACTTTCCCGTCTAGAACGGTTGTGACGTTGGTAACGATTGGCGTGGTGAGATTGTCGACTGGAATGTTTGACAATTATCGCTATCTAGACTGACCTTACTTCTATTAGACAATTTGTGTATAAGACTCCAAAATTCGATATTTCCCATTTTTTTATTTAAAAGAGTCAAGAGTAAATTGTCACAATCCAAAATATATGGCGATCGCTTTAACAAATGTCATGCACAACGTTACACATGAAACGTCATTGCACCGCTGTTAGAATTTACGTAAGTGTGTATTACTATGGATTAATATGGATTACTACTCACAACGTAGAATTACTTTAGACAAAAATGATTATTCTAGTACTGCTGTGCCCCTAGATACCACTTCAAATCACCGAAAAAAACTTACTCCGTTACGAAATGAAATGCCTTGCTAATTGATCTGCTAACTATATAAATTTAATTTACTTGTTGTCATATAAATCTTTTTTTTTAATTTTTTTCTCGTCGCGTTCTACGAATTGAATTGAACTTATTCACATAACAACGACATATTCGAATTTTCAATGGGACATGAAAAAATAAACATACTTACTGAAGAGTTCAATGAACAATGACTCTTTAAATGTTTCCAATGAAACTCAAAAGTTCTGTGGGCTTACAAAAAAATAATTTAAAAAACCCTATAATTTTGCTTAAAAATATCATCTATTTTGAAAAATCTTGCATTAAAACAATATTATTAGGAATCTTATCACAAAAAAAAAGTTGAAATTACATCGATGCAAAAAGTCATTTTACAAGCATCGACAATAATAATACAGTCATAATTAAAACCAAATTTTCCAACTTCGAACAACTTCTACTATGGGAGTTTCTATTGTCCGTATTCACGACAGAACCCAAATCAAATTTCGGATGCATTGGATAGACGGATTCATTGTTAGTTTTCTCTTTGAATTTTTGGTTATCACTAATACTTGATTCAGACGAAGATGAAATCGTATTCCCATTGAAATTTAAATGGCTCTCCTCGAAATATTCATATTCCATATCACCAGATGAAGCAACCGTGACATCAATCTCAGATGTGAATATTTTATCTCTCTCATTATATTCATGTGATGAATTAATGTCTATTTTAGTTTTCTTATTCGGACAATCGTGTGTTTTATTCAATTGCATACTATAACTATTTTAAAAACAAACAACAAAAAAATCAATTAATAATTTTATAAATGTTGAAGAAATTTCTATTTTTATTACCGATAAGGGTCTACATCTCGTCTGCAATGCTCTCCTGCTTCTTTAATGAAAATCTCTTCTAAAGAAGCAAGTGCACCCAAAAAACATTCGAACCCTGATACATCTAGGCGTTTTGTATACGTGTAAATAATATTATTCTCTGTCCATTGGCCGATACATTGGTATCTTCGTTCTGAATTGGATAAAAGTATAATTATAAAATGTGTAAAACATGAATCTAACTATATCTACATATATATCCAACACATACCATCAAAAACTTCGTCATGACCACAAATTGTTACTTGATACTTCATTGTGTCATTTTTTTCGCAATCAGACCATAATCTTGCACATAAATCCTCTGCATCTGGAATCAGTCCCACGAAATTACCATCAATTGGACAAGGTGATGGCTCGATAAATGTACTATCAATTCGACTTTGTGTTATGAAATGAGATTTTTCAAAATATTGATCACCACAAATGCTTTCAAGACTTCCAAGATAGTTATCAATACTTGCTCCATTGTCATTTAATGAACTTTGATGGACCGTTTTTGAGCCCATTTGAAATTCAAGCACATTTGCACTCCTCTTATGAACAGACACACAATGATATTGTTCTTCGCCTGAAATTACATTCCGAATATTGTGTAAGTATCAAATTTATTTTCGATTCATAAATTCTATTGTATAAAAATAAGCTTACCACATTGAGTTTGACTAAATGTTAATAGACGCACACTTTTTGAATCATTTATCGAAGCGGTGTTATTGTAATATGCAATACAATTCATTGTATACGTTTTGTAAGATAACTGATCTCGATAAATAATTTGTCGATCGTCAATCGTCAAGAATTCAAAATCTCCTTGCATCCAAAGTGGAAAATGTTGATATTGATGGTTTTGATGTTCAAAGGATTTATTCTTGATTGGATATAGCTCTAGAATTTCTTTGCGATCGTAAATATTTTGCGATGTACATAACGAGTCTGCATTCAATGAGACCGTTATTATATTTGTATCGGGATCTTTTACGAATGTCTATGGGATATAATTGTTTTATCAGTTTAAGTTTTAATGTACATTTTAATAAAATGGAATAAAAATGTACAGTGTTTAAATAAAAATGATTTTATAAACTATCATTTTCCTGTATGAATAAAAAATAACTCACCGCACATCGATACTTTGGTCCAAAGCTTTGATTACCAGTATTCATAAAAGCAACAAAATTTTGATTATCCTGACCTTTCCATTGGCCTAAACATTCAAGTGTGGCTTCATAATCTCTGAATGTACATTGTCTAAATCGTAAATTGAGTGCCGATGAGGATGGACAATTATCAAGTTCGGAATTTTTTGTATCGCAACCAGTTGTATCAAGACCACCATCATCAATTGTTAGCGTAAATCGATATCGACCATCAAATGGACAATACTGTCTCTTAATTTCTTCTCCATTGTATTCAAGTAGCTTATAAAGAATTATTTCTTTCTGCGTTAATTGATCTTGATCATCGATTTGACCAACAACTGGGCATGATTCAATGGTCTTTTGTTCATTAAATTCACAACTATTATAGGAATGTTCTGCAATATATATACGTAGAATATTTCGTGAGACTAAATTGATGTGAATGCACTTGTAACAACTTCCCGACTCTGAATCCATTCGAAGAACAACATTGTCTCCATTTCCAATGCGTTTGTGACACACACCCCAAATTGGTATTGAGTCTTCGGTGATGTTAACATTTGTGAAGCGACTTTGTGTATTATACGTTGTTTGCGTTGTGTACTCGCCTTGCATTTCGGTCGCAAAGTAACACACCGATTGTGTTTCATCTAGCGATGATGCTAAAACAACAACACCGACGCTCACTAGTTTCAAGTAAAACATTAAATCACACATGCCCATTTAGTTCCACTTTGTTTGTCGTTTTAATTCACTTATTTAAATTATTCCAACCTAATACAGTTTTTTTTGTTCTCTTATCTGCAGATCAAACTTTTATCGAATTAAACAATAGATAGTAGTGTTTTCTTTCTTGTTATTTGATATTCTCATTCAAAATACAAATTTGTGTTTTCTTTCTTGTTATTAGATTGTATGGAATAACATTTGGAGCAAGTTAACCGTTTGGTTATAATCACAACAATTGTTTCAATTTATTATAGCATTTTTTTCACTTGTTGTAGACTTTTTTTATAATAATTTCGTCAAAAAAAATGCGCGATAAAATTAAATTAGAATTGATCTCTGCATGTCAAGTGATCGATCGGTAATTTTGTATATACACATAAAAAACCACTTCCACACACTTGTTGCACGATGTTTAAATTTGATTCAAGAAAATGAAACGTTTCGATACCATCGTATTCTGTCTACAAACCAATACAAACTGACACACTCTACTGATTCACCGAAGAGTGAATCCGAACACTTCTTTCTGTGTTCTTTATATCGATGAATGCAGCCAGTATTCTGAAATTTCAACGTTCACTAACTAAAAAAAAAGACATAATACAACAAGCCCGTAGAAAGAAGGAGAGTTAAGCAAAAGACAAGAAAATAAATACACATACACACCGTAATCAGCGTTGAGAAAAATAATCAAAGGTAGAGAAAAAACTCATGTATGAGTTGGTTATTCAATATATTCGATTCTGCACATAAATTAGTTACGCGTGTGAGTGCTATCTTTCTGTTGTCTTTTCCTTTTTTCGTACCATTCTCACATTTACTCTGTCTGCTTTGCCTTTTCTGAATGAAGTTATCCAAAGAATGCTCGAAAAATTCACTTCCAATTTTCAACAGTGTATTACTGTATTACTATGCACGTTTGGCTCGAATACATGGCATTGTTTTTCTTTTCTCTCATACTCACCGCACAATCACACACACACACGCATATTTCAACGAAATTCATTCATAGAAAGAAAAAAAAACAGTGCTCGCCCAAGATAGGTCTCTGTTGTTATTAACAAACAACAACAACAACAACAACAGAAATCTTTTGAATTGAGACCTTAAAAAATGATAACAATTTTTATATATCTTTTTATTTTTATTTTTCAAAACTCAGGTCAAAACGAATTTTGTAATTCAAAAAGTCAGGTTTTAAACGATTTTGCGACTCATCGTCTTTTTCCTTTCAGTCATTTTCAATAGTTTACAACAAAAAAAAACCATGGGGAGAAAAAACATATGGCGCAAATGTGGATACAATGCAAAGTTGCCAATTATATATGTTGACGCACATTTGATATGTATTCAATTTGGCGGTTGGTATTTTTGTTTATAGTTTATATTCGCCAAAGTATAATATAAATAGTAGATGTTTAACTTTTTTTGAAACGTTGTGAATCTATTCTTTGGGTTTGAAAGTATAATTTATGAACGAAACATTGATCACAACTTTGTGAGGTCCATCAAGCCAGACATTATCGTATGTAAACCAAAGGTATATATTGGTAGTGCAACTTAAAAATGTCGTTTTTTTGGTAAAAATAAAACTTTATTTCATAAATTCTGTAAATAACATGTCATTCAAAGTATTGGCCATCGGAAGCTATAACCTTTTCCCATCTTTCTGGCAGCATGTGGATTCCGCGCCAAAAGAACTGCTCATTTTTTCAGGTTAGGAAAGAATCAATCCAATTTTTGATACCTTCAATTGAAGTGAAGCGTATTCCAGACAAGGCATTCTGCATCGATCGAAACAAGTGATAGTCAGAAGGGGCAATGTCTGGGCTATACAGCGGGTGGGGCAAAACTTCCCATCCACTATTTTCCAAATAGTTCTTAACCGGCTGAGCAATGTGAGGCCGAGCGTTGTCATGATGGAAAATTATGGACTCATGTCTGGTCGCATATTCTGGCCGTTTTTCGTTCAATGCTCTCTTTAAATGGATCAATTGTGTTCGGTACAGGCCTCCCGTGATCGTTTCACTCGGTTTTAATAGCTCATAATAGAGGACACCCTTCTATTCACTTTGACAGATGGAATTTAATAGTTTTTTTTGACGCTCTTTAAGATACACCTGTTGTCACTGTCAAAAAAAATGGCGCGTATGATACATAAGAAGTTGACACAAATACGACATTTTTAAGTTGCACTACCAATACATGTTCAATGTATTTTTTTTTTCATTTTTCCTACCTCCATTCGTATCTTGATATAGTAAATTATCCATTAATCGCACCTGTGAAACTAGTTTCATTCATTTTGAATACGAACACAAAACAGATTGGAATTGTTGAAAACATCAAATGTTTGACGATTCCTGTCCGAAACGTGATCACGCAGTCATTGTACAACATTAGAAACACCATCTTAAATGTTATATACAACAATTTGTTCCATTAGACTATTTATTTCTTTGGGTTTTACATTTTCGGCTCGCTCAAAGTTGGTTTCCTGTAAAACAATCAACTGCATCTAATCTATACTAAAAAAATAAAGAAACAAAATTAATATGTTTTCCTCCATGATTTTCTTTCGGGTTTACCCCCCCCGTGATTTGGATGAGAAAAATTTTTTCGCGAAAATTATTCGAATTTGCTAGGGTTTTCATGAAAAAAGTGAAGACCTTTGTTTTTTTTTTTTAGCTCATCAATGTAGAAAATGGAGGAGAATTCTTTAAATTTGCTAGGGTTTTTGGTCCCGAGAGATTTTTTTCCGATTTGCTAAGGTTTTTCGCGGAGAAAATTCTTTCGATTTGCTAGGGATTTTCGCCTAAAAAAGTGACTTCCAAAAAAAAAAAAAAAACGAAAATTTGTTTGATTTGCTAGAGAATTTTTGGTTTTTGAAAAATCACCCCCCCCCTGTAAAATGTAGCTCGCACATTACTGACCTACGGTTAGTTTGCAAACGCTAACAACAGATGAGCAATAATGAATAAATAATAATAATTGGATGAACATTTCATCGGACTAGGATGATATATAATTTTATAAAAATCCAAATGTTTGATCCAGCCAGTTCTACATTATATCCAATTCGTATAGAATTATAATTGAGCAAATAAGTTATAAATGTGTGCTACGTACTACTACTGACTAAATATAACGGTCATTCACATGAATTGATTTCAATTCAAAAATGACAAATAATCATCAAAGCAAGTCTTAGATTTTACTTAACACTGCTATGGCAAATATATTTGTTATTTATGAATCGTGTATCAAAGCTAGTAAATAGAAATTATGTAACAAATAATAAATTGAGGCACGGTTTTTGGACGGAAGTGCGCATTTTCTCTAACTTATCAGATTTGTATTGTCTGTTATCAATACTGATATGTTTAAGTCTCTCAATTTGTGCTATTGTTTTGTCACACTATTAAATTTCTTTCGATTTGCCCAACACATTCCAAATGTTCACTTTCACGCATTTAAACCTCTACATGGCCAAAATAAAACAGTGAAATTTCCGATCTCAAAAGCAAAAAATAAAAAAAAAAATACATTTGATAAAATTAATTGTAATAAATTTAAATTATACATTATTTTTTAAATCGTACCCGTTATTTTTATTACAATGTATGTGAAAAAAAAACGTTCGAACTCGATCAAAAGCAATTCACATTTTGCAGCCCTGAAAAATATCGAATAAAATTTCACGTTTTTTTTTTGCCTCCTCCCCGGAGAACCTGGTCTTTTGAGTTGACTATAAATAATATTAACCATATTCATTTACAAACGTGCCAATATTGAGCCTAAATTTACTATAAATTGAATTGAGCAAACAATTTGAATTGATATAATACTACATATTGTTATGCATCTTATTTTTTACATCAATCTAAATTGGTATAGTATACAGAAGGTTGATCAAACTTTGTTTTGCATCTTGACTTCTACCAACTACCATAATCAAAAAATCCATCAACGGTTAATTCAGGGTCGGCCATATTAACCAAATTACTGAATTCATGTTCAATGTCAATAACAGTGTCCATATGAGACAGAGAGTACGGCATCGGCTCAACAATTACATTTGATGTGGATCCAGCTCCTGCAATTGTTGCGCTCAATAATTTTGTCCGTTGATCCAAATCGCTTTTAATAAATGTCTGATGAATAAAAAAAAATAAAATCAATAAAATAAAGTTAATGAAATCATAATTGATTCGATTTAGAGAAAACATAAAAGTGCAGTTCCAACCTCATTCGATGAATCATTTAAAATAGCTGTTGTTATACTTGATTCAATTGATACATTTCCATTGGCACTGAGAACATGTTGCTTCTGCGAATCGTGATCCAAATGTTGGTCAACGAAATAGCTTTCGATTGATTGGCTATTGGATTTATCAAAATTGCAACGAATCGTTTCACTTTCCGAATGATCCAGCTCTGTTCCGTTGATTATCACCAAATCATTTGTTATTACATTGCTGATCAAATCTTGTTCCAGTTCCTCATGATGAACCGAGTTCTGTAGTGATCTGATTAGATTTGTATGCGATATTTCAGCCCACATATTTTTTGTGTCATCACTGAACCCCTTTGCCGAACATATGAACGTTGAACCATCACTAGCCGAACTCACTATTTTAATTACATGGAAATGAGAAAAAAATAGTATTCAACAATAATAATCATAGACGATAGACACTTGATCAACATCTTAAAATTGTAATTTTCTCAAAATCCAAAAAAGTAAATTAAACTTGAATCCATACAATTACAACTGTCATTCGTGGTGATGCTTGACGCTGGAGGTGGACTACTCTCATTTTTGCCGGAACATTCAGATAGCTTTGTACTTATTGTTGAAGGCGATCTTTGAATACTTCTTCGTGGAGGAAGTCGAGTTCGGTGTTGTTGAATGACGCGACCATCATCACGACACTTACGTCGATTTCGAACGCGTTTTTTCTCACTTTTTGTTGCATTCATTGACAATTCCCAGTAACCTCCTTTTCCTTTTTCGGACTTATCGCGTGCAATTTTTGTAAAACCAAAGTGCAATGACAAATTATGACGAATCGAGTTCTAAAGAAAGTAATTCATCAATTACTTATCAATAATTAAAAATAAAATAATAATATTCGTCTGAGAGAAGTGATCACTAATGTTTTGAACCGTTAAATTCAAATCGTTCATCAAAATTGTCAGATTGGATTCTTTCTGCTACAAACATTACTCACCGATTAATAGATTTTTAACATTCGTAGCGGATTGATTACTGTTTAAGTAAATAACTGAACCAAATCGACTATTTTCATAATTCTAGATTTTTAGTGGACTCAAATACACTTGTGTATCAACATCTCTTAATGGATAAATCCCACAGTGTCGAATTAGTGAATCAAAAATTGATACTTACATTCCAATTTTTATTATATCGAAAATAAGCGAAATGCTCCTGTATCCATTTGCAAATATCCTTAAGCGTCATTCGACCACAGTCCATCATAGCCATTGCAATGATTTGAGCATAATTGAATGGTGGTTTTTCTAATGGATCCATTTTATATATTCTCTCGCGTTCCGCATAGTTTTTTTGGCTTCTAAAATTGGATACATAAAACATATGAAAAGAAGTCGATTGGAAAATTTATTTATTTTATTCGCGTAGTTCACTCACTGTTTTACTTGAATTGTGAATTTTTTGAATTTTTCTTCAGATAAATCTTTTTCACTTATTACTGTGGCTTCAGCATTTCGCTCGTCATCAATATCATTCATAATGCTATTGACCAGTGATGTGTGCACGGTATTTTTTGATGATTTCCGATTCGATTTATTTGAATCAATTGGCCATTGAGCTAGATTTTTTAAATCGATCAGCCAGCCCAAATTTGTAAGGTCTTGTTCTGAGGAGCTTTCATCATCATGATCATCTTCACAATCATTTTTGTTTGACGTGCACATTGTATGTGTTTCTAAATTGATTTGATCTTTTTCCTTTGTCTTTGCCTCAAAATTATGTGATATTTCAATCTCTTTCACAGTTGTTGTATCTATATCCTCAATAAGTTCACTACGCATTTCATCAAATTCTTTTTCTTCTTCTTCTTCTGTGATTTTATTTGAAACATCGTTATCTTTTACCGTCACCAAAAAATCAATACCTGTCGAGAAAAAGAATGTGGGACTTTACACTTGCAATTTTGAGTTTTCTAAAACAGAAAAAAGACAACAACTCTAAGATGGCTAACCATTTAAAAGTCCGAGATCGTGTGAGCTATCCTTTGTTTCATCATCGAAATCAACCTGGGATCCTTCAATTAAAATCAACCCATTGCCAATGAATGTGTAATTAATTACATTTTCACTTTCATCACGTGAAGAGATCATTTCACCATTCGTTTCCAGTTTAATTGAATTGCAATCGTGTGAGATTGCATTTTCTGAATCACTGAATTCAACTTGATGCATTAATATTTGATCATTTCCAAAATCGGTCACTTGATTTGACAATTGAATATCTTCCGAATTTACACTCGATGTTATAGGCATATCAAATTTTTCCAAAATATTCTTGTGAATCAACATATCATTACAAGATTGAAATTGAAATGATGGAATCATCTTATAAATATTTCATTAAATTGCTAGTTTTCACTTTGTTGGGTTTTTTATTTTCGACGATAAATTAGCCACAACTCTCACTTTGATTTTTTCAAAATAAAAAATATTTTTATTTTTTTCATTAAACTATAAGAATTTTGTTTTGACTTATTTGTAACACACAATAGCACGTAATACAAGAAACTATTTCATTTGAATAAATAATTTTCTATTTTACTTTATATAATTCAGGTCAATTTTTTTGATAAAACATTTAATTATGATGAATTGAGCAAAGATTTGACAGTTATTTTCATAAAATGGTTCCTTTTTGAATGGAAATAAAAATGAAACTTGAGCCTTTTGTAAAATGTGCGATGAATTTAAATGTAAAAGTGAGTTATCGTTCGAGTTTTTCAGCAAAACAGTTTTCGACGTATTGAACGCGTACGTGTGATTTTGGTAGTGTGTGATAGTGTTAGCGTATCGTTTGAAGTTGAAGTGAACGTGAAAAAGATCGATACCGTTCCTTGGAATATCATATAAATTGTAAAAGCAATAAAAAAAATTCCGAACAATAACAACTACAACGATACTGAGCAGGACGGGAGTAATTATGCGGTGCACGAGTAGAGTACAGTTGACCAAAGCAATTGTGAGTCACTTTCGTTTCAATCATGCATATATACAACGACCACTACCATCAATGACCACACACGGTGGACTCCTTAATTCAGGCTCACAATATATTCACACACTACAAGTGAATAGAAAAAAATGGAAACCGTTTTCGATTAGTAGCTTGGATATAGAAACGTTGTCAATACAAGTGTAGGGTTGTTTTTGATTGTAGTTTAGATTTGAGTGTTGATGTTTGATTCAATTTGTTTGGTCAGTCGGTCGTTCGGTCGAAAGAAGCTGTAGCGTTGACTAAATACGATATTCACTAAATACGATACCCTTTATCCCGGTTTTGTCTATATTTCAAACGATCAATTCTCATAATTTATCATCTCACAAAATCACTTTATAAACACTTTGCCAACATGTTTTTTTTTTTTTCATTCCTAACTTATTTCAAAAGAATCAAATTCAATTTTTTCTTTCACTTGATACTTTATTGCTTAATGTCCTCATATCCAATTCAACTGACCATTTATATTTTCATTCTATTCAGCTGCTAACTAGACTCTGAGTACTTTGACTGGGTATAATTCTTTCAGTTTTTTTACTGTAGTTGTTTCAATGTTACCGTTATTATTTCAGTAAGTTACATTCAAAATTTGTAGTAAACACCTGTGCATGTGTGTTTGCAGTAGCTCAATACGATAATTTGCACTTAAACGTTCGTTGCTCTTACGAAGGGGCTGCAGCGAACAATAATAATAACATTACAACAATAATCTTAAATAAAAAAAAGATTCGAAACAATATGATGGTGACACATATGTATAACATTCGAAAAACATACATACACAAATTAAAATAGGTGAAGTGTAACACCCCTGCGTTTTTTGTACGCTATTGTTTACAGTGAGAAATCGGGAATAGCTAAATAATAACGTAGACAATAAAAACCGTCTGCAGATGGTTTAAATAAGAAACAATTTTGAATTTACATGTCCCTTTTCATCACACATATATGTGGTAGCTATTTATAGTACATAATTTTTTGATCGGATAAAGTGCCAAAACATGAATAAACATAACGGTGAACCAAAGGGTGATTGGAAAGCATTGTAGTTGAAATTACGTAGGTGCAAAAAAATGACAGCTGTTCTGGGCCACCCTGTATTTAAAGGAAATAATCGCTAGTCAAGCAATGATTTCTGAAATATTGCGTAATTCTTCATATAATATTTTTCATTTAAATTAGAATTCGACGAAATAGTGAGCATTATTGGATTATTGAATTAGTGAGCATAGTCTTTGAAAAAAAATTTGACAGAAAATTTCATTCTTTTGGTTCAATGAATGTCCCTTCATATTGACTACGCTTGCATCTACCTGTATAAGAACTGACTCCCTTACCGTTTTGAAAATGATTGTTCCGAAATTCAAAACCCTTAATATAGACATTTATAATAAACAGGGCAGTTTTATCTCTTGAACCTCCGGACGTGACAATGGAGCAACAGCACATTACAAATTAAGACAACAGCAAGAATTCGAATACGATGATTCCGTACTCCGCGGAGTATTAGATAACCAACGAGAACGATCATACCTTAACTCCATGTGACCAGTAAGCTTGACATTTAAGAGTACATATACCATAAAAAATTGGTTTTTAAAACTCATTCTGAAGAAAGAAAAACGTACAATTCTCGATTGTGTCCAACAGTAGCGGAAGACAATTTTGATTACAACTAATATCAATATGATTTACGATGTTTTGAATTTATGGATAAATGTATGGTAAACGTTTTTAGATACCTCTTTTTAAAAACTGAACCCATATAGGAAAAAAAAATGACGAATACTGAAAGAAATGAATCAATTTCGACTGGTTTATTCGAAATTCATGTGGTGGGATAATGATAAAACCAGGTTGTCAAAAAGATAGTGTTTGTTGTAGAAAAACAAACTAATGCTAATGTTTATGATTCATAAGCTGGAAATTGATTTACAAAGTATCATGTCCTGAACAAGATACGAGCTAGTCAAGATTATTTGTGTCGAAATTCCATTTTAATAAACTTTTGTTTTAAATTTGAGTCTATTTACATTAAAATGTTGTTAAATCTTGTTGTATTTCACATTTATTTGGACAATTAATCAATAAGTTGTCCCCTTCATTTGCAATCTAAGAATTTCCTCAAAATTGGAGATAGCCCGAGCAGCTATGACGAACTGTATGAAGAAAAATATAGCTTCTTATCAGTTTGGCAAAATTGCCAAGTCTCTTGAGTGGTTGAAACGATAAAACTAATTGATTCCAAAATTGCTTCATTTTCCTGTATCGAATTCCAAAAATAATTGTTGAGCGAAAAATTGAAAGAAACAAAAACACTGAAAAGCAATGAAAGATATTACTAGACACTTTGAATCACTCAATATTTTCATTACTTAAAGATTTTTTTAATTAATAAAATATTGAATCCAATTGAAATGAATGTTCAAACGTTGTTTGTGTATGATTGGTGAAACATTTGGTGAATGATATAGAATTTTGATAAAATATTTAAAATGTATATTTTCGTCTGTATGCCATCGGTTATTAATTTTTTGGAGTAAGAATCCATATATAAATATCTTTTTTATTTAAAAAAAAATAATAATTCCAAATTCTGTTGGTGTTCGAAATAGAAAATTACAGTTAATCGATTTTTAAATGCATTTTTGCATAGCATTATGAATTGCTTAAAAAATTGTTTGTTGATATTGTATTTGTGAAAAATGGGAAACAAATATGTAGTTATTTTTTTCACGTCATCATAAGTAACGTCGTTTCGTTTTATTCGGCATGTATGGACTATAAGATATATTCTTATTTATTTTACGCGTTTGCTTACTTGTTGGTGGTTGAATGTGTTTGTGTGTGTTTTCTTAGATTGCTGATTCATTTTTTTTATTGAATTTTTGCATCATATTATGTATTCAAAGAAAAGTCTATACATCAATTTTCGACAAAAAATGCTTGTTTTGAAACGATAGCAATGAAAGGAAAAAAAACTAAGGTGTTTACATCTCCATTTTGAAAAAGTCACATAATGTTTTAAGTGATGTTATCAATCAGTTGTATTGTCGCTCGCGTTCCAAAACAAAAATTATTCGTTGAAATACTTTTCACAACTGTAACATATGCTTAATGTGTAAAATTATTAAAATTATCATTATTCAATACAAGTAATTTTTTCCTATAATAACGTACAACAACAATAACTTTTTTGTTGTCGTTTTTCGGATGTCATATTCATTTCTCGTACCACGCTCGCAAACACGTCATTCACATTGATTCGATCTTTGGCAGACGCCTCTATAAATGGACAATCCCATGCAGCTGCTAATTCTCGTCCTTTAAAAATAAAATAAATAAATATCGTTAAAAAAACGAGATGATAAACACCTCAAACAAATCGAAGCATACGAAAAATGAATGAATTCAAAATCTATGCATACCTTCTGATGTAGAGACTTCTCTTTGGCATTCTAAATCGAGCTTATTGGCGACTAGGAGTATAGGAGCTGGTTGGCTTCCCTTTACGCGACTAATAACGTTTTTCATATTTGATATATCCTACAAATAAAATGCGACATCGTATTGTATTTTGGAGTAACATTTATTTGACAAGTTGAACGGTGTTAAATGACAAAAACAGTAACTCACTTGAAATGTTTGGTGATTTGTTAATGAATACATAACGATAAAACCATGGCCATTTTTTATGTACAAATCTCGCATTGATGCAAACTGCTCTGTGCCAGCAGTGTCTAATATTTCGAGAACACATGGTGAATTATCCACCTACAAAAAATAAAGAAATCAATCAAACAATTATTAGATTTTAATTATTTTAATGTTGAATATATGAGAATTTTGATTTTACCTCAATCTCTTTCCTGTAAAAATCCTCGATCGTTGGATCATATTTTTCAATGAAACAGCCAGAAACAAATTGAACGGTCAACGCTGATTTGCCAACACCTCCCGAACCGAGAACCACCACTTTGAATTCGCGCATTTCTTTTATATTATAATGTTTCCGGTAATATTCGTTTTATTGATTTCGATTCGGTACCGAGATTACTTTTTTTTTTTTTGAAAAAAAAATTGAATTATTTTGCTTTATTTTTATTACAATTCTATGAACGAATTCTTAAAATACATATGTTTTACGAAAGTCACATCACTGCTCGGTCTTGTTATTTTTTTATTGGAAGCTTGAACTACAACCGCTATGATATTAGTGAATTACTTTTTATTCGCAGTACTATTTTGTTAATGC